CTATGACATACAAACATCCATGGCACATATTTACTACAGTGAGATTCGAAGCCACAGGCGGAACAGACTGATACAGTATGACTCTAACCCAGTCATGTCTCAGACATCTCAGCTACTGCAGTTCCTTGTTACTTGTTAGGTTTATTGATTGTTTATAAAAGGCATAGTTTATATATTGTGGTTGTTTATTAAAAGTATACCACAAATCAAGTTAAACATTTCTGAGATGTATTAATTTTCAAATGAAGAATATGCCATTATTTTTGTGAATGGGCATCAACTCCAGTGCCTGATTTACAGTGGTGGGGGTCTGTAGGCTGAAAATTGGTGGGGGCCTATTCTAGAAGAAAAATATCCTTTTTGGTAGCCCCCCCCCAAAAAAAATTCTTATCTTCTTATCTTTCTCCCTCTAGTGGCAGCTCTTAGAATCATATCTTAATGGATATAATTCAAATTTTAACAATAAAAAATAATATTTTTCAGGATAATTTTTCTTTGATGTTCATGATGAGGTCTTAAAAATCTTTAAAAAAAAATAATCATAAAAATTTTTTTTTTGTTAACATGGTGGGGCCCCCTAATTGGTGGGGGCCTGTAGGCTGCAGCCTACACCAGCCTATAGGTAAATCAGGCACTGATCAACTGGCACATAATGTGATGTTCAGTAGATCATTTAGAAGACTTCATATGACGGGAAACACTGCTCCTCAAAAATCTTTTCGGTCACATGAGGCAAATCCATATACCTAATGAAGACAATGTAACATATGCGGTAAGTAATCGAATTTCTGGATTAGCACAGGACAGATGGTTACAAATTTAAAATTATCACAAACGTGATAATATCTAATATCTGATCTTTGGAACACTACTTTTACGGACATGGGATTCACAATTTTATTCATTTAATTTTAGTGTAAATGCTTGCAGTAGTTTGTTTAATAATGTCACTGTTCTTAAATATGTTTAATGGAACTCTTAACTCAGATATGTACCATACCTTCTAAACACGTTGTGACGATCATCAGCGAGTAAGGCAAAGGGCTCTTTTGCTAAGTACTTACCTTTCATGAAAGCAGTTATGCCTAACCCTCTATTGGTCAGTTACCATATACCAGGTATGTAAATATGAAACTGGAATTTTTGTATAGAAAACACATGTTTATTGTATGAAAATGATGCAAAATATTTTATTCAAAGTATTATTCATTGTTAGCTATACATTTTTCCCACCTGTCTGGCAATTTGTGGATGTCATGCCAAAAAAACTGTTGTTCTTTTGAGGCAAACTAGTCATCCAGCCATTTTCATACATTTTCGTAAGAAGTGAAGCGATGCTCAGTAACTGCGTGTCCCATTGATGCAAATAAGTATTTCCCAACTAAATGCCTCAATCATTTCCTTGCCCAGTTTTGCTGTCTGATGGTGCATTATCATGAAGCAAAATCACTTTGTGTTGCCTTTTTTGATATTCTGGTTATATTTCATGCAAAGCTTGATTCAAATCAATAATTTGTTTAATAACAGTTTCAATAGGATTCAACATAATAGATCATACCCTTCTGATCCCACCCAACATAGAACATTGTCATTCTAAGAAGCGTAAGTTATATATACAAGAAACGATATGAGATTTTTAAAAGTGCAAGACAGTTTACTTTGTCCTTGTGAATTACATCTATGTTCAAGGGGATTACCCTAACAATTGAACATTTATTATCATTATTCATTTGAATTTGTAATGTTAATTGTTTATTAATAAATATGCTTATTATATGTTTTAATATTTTATAATACTAATAATTAATTTTTAAGTTTGGTTGAATTGCAATTTAAAATATGTACACAGATATGATCACATAATACAAAATATGCCTCTCATCACTGAAATATGCAAGTCTAGTACTGGATATATATGTGCCGTATTGCTATATTAGAAGATTGAGGTAGAAGCTGCTAAAATGTTAAAAGAAATATCAGATTTACCTTTTTTAAGCATTCCTTGATAACACCTCATATATGTTAACTGACCAAATCGACCAGCTTCTAGTTTGAAAGCTAAAGCCACAAAACACTTCTCATCACTCCTTGTCGAATCTAGAAGAATTTTTACGGGTTCTTCGTCATTTTTCTCTATTAGACCATAGTTGGGAACCTCTCCTGGACTAGGCAGATAGTCCAGAACAGCATCTAATAGTGGTTGTACACCTTTATTTTTTAAGGCAGTTCCAACCAAAACTGGTGTAAAAGTACGTTTTAAACAAGTTCTACGAACAGCAGCTTTGATGTCATTTTCTGATATCGATTTTTCTTCTAAGTATAATTCACCTAAATTATCATCACAATTTGATAAATGTTCTATCAGTTCATGCCGCCTTTCTTCACTTTCTGTTATCATATCTTTAGGAATGTCATCATATCGAATCTGTTCTCCAAAATCACCATCAAAGTAAATAGCTTTGCATGTTATTAAATCGATGATACCTCTGCAATTACTTTCAGTTCCAATTGGTAACTGGATAAAAGCAGCATTGTGATTCATTTTAGACCTATTAAGTATATTAAGAAATTTAGCCTTCTATGAACAACATATTTTAAATAGTGAAAATAACTTACCTCATTTGTAAAAGAACTCTTTTAGGATTAGCTCCTAATCTGTCCAACTTATTAATGAAAGCGAGACAAGGTACATTGTACCTTTTCATCTGCCTATTAACTGTAAGAGATTGACTTTGAACTCCTCCAACAGCACAAAGCACTAGAATTGCCCCATCTAGCACTCGCAATGCTCTCTCTACTTCTACAGTGAAGTCGACATGTCCAGGAGTATCTATAATATTAATATTATGATCTTTCCATAGAGTATAGGTAGCTGCTGATTGTATAGTAATTCCTCTTTGCCTTTCCAATTCCATGGAATCCATTGTAGCCCCAACATTGTCTTTTCCCCTGACTTCGTGCATTGCTTCTATCCGTCCAGTGTAATACAGGATTCGTTCTGTTAAAGTTGTTTTACCTGAATCTATATGAGCTGAAATTCCTATGTTTCTAATTTTGGTAAGTTCTTTATGTTCGGCGTATTTCGCATAGCTGGACATGTAGTGTACTGGTCCATTATACTACAAAATAAAATGAGGTTAGAATTATTTATAGGGTTGTCTAATTAAAATACACTTACATGCCGTGACCTTTTGATAAAATTCGATACACTAACATTCTTTACATTACCTAATACTTTATAAATAGTCATTATGGAATGAACTTAATTTATGGTTCCTTAATTTCTAGAATGTGAAGGATAAAAGGATCCTTCCA